ATAAACTATTTGTAATTAATAAGCTATTTAAAGTTATAGCTAATTTAAGCTTTTTTAAAATTATATTATGGTTTTATATGTTATCATAGATTATAAATTATTGATTATTGCAAATTAGAGTATATGATACATTAGAATATATTTGTATAGTCATGCTCCATATCAGTTCCTTACTAACAATATATATTATACATATAATGGAATTGAATTTAAACATTTTTCAAAAATTATATTACTATTAAAAATATAATAAATTAATTAAAAATCGTATTTAATTGAAAATTATATTACTATATATAATAATAATAAATAATATAATCATATGTATAATATATACTATTAATTATTTATATAAGTTATTTATTATAATATATCTTTTTATTTATATAATATATGTAATAGTAAAGATCTTTGATACAAGTATATACATCTTGAGAAATGTTTTAATTTTAATTGCTAGTTAATACTAGTTATCACTAGTTGAAATCCAATTATTTGATAGTATGCCATTTGTCAATTATTCAGCATACGATAAATAATTTATTAAGCATTTGTCAACAATTTGGCAATTATTGACAAATTGAATATACTGAATTATTGTCAAATTGTTGATGAATGCTTAACAAATTATTTATTGTATACTAAATAATTGACAAGTGGCATATTGCTGAATAATCAGATTTTAACTAGTGTATCAAATCTAAAAACCTTTTGATTAAGTAAAATATAACTTTTTAAAGATCTAATCTATTAATTAGATTGATATTTTTTAAACTTTTAGTAGATCTTTAAATTCAGACTAGTTAGTAAAATTTAGAGATATAAATATTAAATAAAATATAACTCCTATATATTTTATTTTATTATATAATAGTTATATTTTTATATAAGTAATATTAATTCAATATTTTTTTTTAAAGTTTTTACTTTAATAATTAATAATTAAGATTGATTAATATAGAATATAATTCAATCTGTATATTCAAATATAATATAGATCTTATTGTATTATAATTATAAAATTTAATTAAAATTAGATCAAAAGTTTTTTTTTATATAATTATTTTTTTTTATAATTTATTATAACCTTACAATTATCAAAAAAAATCAGAAATTCAATTTTTATATACTGTATATAACTTAATTAAAAAGAATATGTAATAATTTTTTGTAACCAGGTGGATTTGAACTTTAAACTTTTATTTGATAACCTATAGAGCTTTATTATGAAACTCTAGATCTATAAATCTGTTATATTATAATTTTTTATAACAAACATATATTATAAAGAAATAAACAAGAAATTATTATTATTATTATTAATTTTATTTATAAAAATAATTAAATTTTTTAATTATTATATATTACTTTATTAAGTTTTTTAATTATTAATATAATACTAGTTGAATTTTTATATTAATATTAATTGTTATTTTTTTTAAATATTATAAAATATAAATTTTTGAAAATTCAAATAACAATAATTATACAATAGTTTTTTAAATATATTTAATTTAACTATTAAAATAATTATATAATGGTTTTTTAAATATATTTAATTTAACTATTAACAAGTAAATAGTATTAAATTTAATAATAATAAATACATATATAATTTTTTGAAAAATATATAATTTGTTTTTTTTTTTTGAAAAAATTATAAAAAAAAAATTTAATAAAGTTTATATTTTGAAAAAAGTTATTATTTCTTAATATAATTTTTTTTAAAAAAAGAATTAACTAGCTAAAGAAGTAATAAAATAAAAAACTATATTTTAAATAAAAAAAAAAATTTTTTTTAAAAAAAATAATAATATAAAAAGATTTATAAAAAAAGAATAAAATAAAAATAAAAATAAAAATATAGAAAAGAAAAATAAAAAGATAAAAATGATGAAAAGATAAAAAAAACAAATAACTTTAAAAAAGAAATATGAAAATAAATTTGATAATTGTAAAAAAAATAATGTTTAAATATAAAAATATAGAATAAAAATTTTCAAAAATTCTATTTATACAATATATATTTTTGCAATAAATATTATATTTTCAAAAAAATTATATTTTAGTTTTTAAAATTCTTGATTATTTGTTTTGTATTATTAAAATCAATAAATAAAAATTTTAAATATTTATTAAAAAACAAAGTTTTGTAATTTTAATAATAATAAAAAAATTTTTATCAAGCATAATTTTTTACTTTAAACCATTTACAATAAAACTTTTATTTGATAAACTTTAAATAAAAGTTACAAGAATAATATTAGAAAAATAAAATAAATTTTTATATTAATTAATATTATTATCATAAGTATTACAAAATTTTAAATAATTATTATTGTCCTAAAAATTTTGAATACTAATGTACGTTTAAAAAATTGATTTCCATTGTTAGAAATAATAATATTTACAGTTTAATTAAATAAAGGTATGGAGAAAATGTAAAAAATACAATGATCTACCTGATACTATTTAAAACAATTTATAAATCCTAATATGTAATTCAAAAAATAGCTTGTTTGCATAACATGTTATCACTTCATGGATAAAATAACGTCTCCCATAGAATTACGTGTTCTACTGTGATGTGATGTGTTACGATGTGAAACAGATTTTGCATATTTATTACACATAGAAAGTACGTGTAATATATCAAAAAAAATCAAATAAGGTCAGAAATAAATAATTTTGTTAAAATTTTTGAAATGTTCATATGGAAAAATTAAATTACATCGGTTCATTAATTAAAAATCAAACTTTTATAAAAAAATTAGCTAAATTTGAAAGATGAATAGGTCAACCAGACGGCTAGCACTGACGGGCGAGTCAAATATACGATGAGTGAAAAGGAAATTAACTTTAAATGAATTTTGATAAATAGATTTGTGGACAATAAGAATTATTACGATTACCCGGAACAAGAAATTTAGAGTATGACATTCTTTTTTCAATACGTCATGTGTTGAGATTTGCCACATCGATGCAAAATCATTCGGTTTTTTTTTTAACTATACGCAACATAGCTTAAAGAATTGTGATAAGCAGTTTTAAGATTAACCTTCCATGATCTTAATTAACGTGATTCATATCGGCGTTGCAAAATGTTCCGAATCTAGTTCCGAGAGACTCTTGAAAAGGATTGCCAATATGTTTAGTGTAAGGAAGAAACTCAATGTAATGATATGCGTCCTAAATGTCATGGTCACTATGGATGCGATGTCTTACCAATAACCAGTCAGTTATAAATAGAAGTTTGCATTTTTTGTGAAGATCCTCGGGAACTTTAATAATGCATTTCCTTATTTATCGGCATTCTGATAATTAGGAATATACTAAGAATAAATATGGTTTAGTTGACAAAACCATCATGCTGGTTGGTCTTCATAAATGCATAAAACTGCAAATCATAAACTTTCCATTTATACGTATGCACAAAGGAGGGACGTTGCTGATATGTACAAAATGGTAGAAACATGACCTTTGAAATTAATTACATTACTACATCTCTGATCTAAGTATTACTGTTACAGCGGTATTTTGCGTATTGAATTGGAACCTAGTGTCTCTTCTTTCTTCGGACTGGTCGAATCTCCGTATCTAATTAAAAGAATGGTCGCACAAAACACAAAAGCTATTCTTTATTTTTTTTGAATAAAAATGCCACAATTTTCGAATAACTCTCTATTTCGCAATTGTAAATCCCTCCCCTCCCCTCCCCTCCCTTTTACGTTTCCTTTCCTTTCCTTCATTTCCTTCGTAAAAAATTAAAACACCTAATTCCTTTAATTTCGCCCGGTTATTCATAACCATTCTTATTCCCTCATTATCCGATATAAAAAAAAATTAATCCAAATATAGACGTATCAACTTTTTACCCTACAAAAAAAAACCAAAATGGAGGCTGGTTACATGAATAGAGCATCCACGATGATGAATCGTCGGAAAACACTCAGCAGACCCGAAAGATATCAGGCGTCTGCCCCTATGTTACCCGGGAAGGAAAAGGATTCATTCGATGCATGGGTGTTCTTTTCAAAGGTCGTCACATTTTGGGCGCCTGGCACCATTCTCTCTTCTGTTGCCGGTCTTCATGATGCACAATCACAGCAAGCTTGGCGTGAAAAAATAGCTCTATGCTTTATTGCTGTTCTTATGGGTGCTAGTGTTGCCTTTTTGACTGTTGGTTTGTCCTCAGTACTATGTCCTCCTTCACAAGCAAGTAACCCAAATCTATTTAAACGATACGGCGATGCACCAGGTATGAACTTTTTGGATTTGATCGTGTGATTGTTGGTAATCATGTCTCGCTAAATTAATCAATTGACAGGTTTCATTGGTATTCTCGGATGGCAGTTTGATGTAACCAATGCATCAAGTCCTAATAATTTTGATTTCAAACTCCAATCAACATTGCAAAACGGTCAAGATATTACAAATAGCTTTCAACGTAATTCTAAAGATATTAACGCTTGTACAGATCCGACCATACAGGACTTTCAAGCTGTCAAACAACAACTTTGCGTACCTTCGACCTCTTGTCCCCTTCAACAAATTGGCCTCCAGACTTTTAAAACTTATAATATTGTGAACAGCACAAAAAAAGTTGGTTACGACTGGGCCCAAGTTGGCAACTTGACTAATTATTTAGTCATCGACGGGAATGTACTCAATCTTAACCCTTACATGACTGCAAATCCCAAATCAATCCCCGGAGATCACGTGGACATGGTGATTCGCACAGTTCTAGGGACAAATCACACCAAAGGAGGGAAGGACGCAACACGCTTGTTCTTTGGTCGAGCGGATTTAAAATCTTCTGTAAACTGTCTTGTTCAAAAGTACTATGCTGGAAACATTGATAAGCAAACCATTGGTTGCTTTACCTCACAGCTCTTCTTATATGTTTCACTTACTGTTATCCTGAGTATTGTTTTATGTCGTTTCATGATGGCTTGTGTATTCGACTGGTTCATCTCTCACCGACTTGCACACAAACCAACGAACGATCAATCCGGTGGGCAACCTTGGGTTCCTGGAACTAGCACCGTCGCAAAAGGAATGTCCATGGACGAGGTGGGCAATGATCTATTCACCGTCTTACTTGTCACTTGCTATTCCGAAGACGAAGCCGGCATAAGGTGTACTTGTGAATCTATGGCATCCACCGACTATCCTGATGATCGTAAATTGTTGTTCCTCATCTGTGACGGTATTATTGTTGGTAGCGGTAACGAGAAAAGCACTCCAGATATTTGCGTTGATCTTATGGAGCTTGGTACGTGAACATTAGAGCTCACTTCATCCCGCTACTGATGTTTCCTTGAATACTAAACCTTTGTAAAAATAACAGAACCCGAGTTCAAAGATCCTCAACCTCAAAGCTACATCGCCGTGGCCTCCGGATTGAAACAACATAATATGGCTAAGGTTTATGCTGGCTTCTTCCGTATGTAAAACTTTACTTTCCATAGATCATCACCTTTTCTTTTCTTTTACATAGTTTTTAAAAACATACTTCTATTTTACTCTTAAACAGCATGGAAAGACCGAAAAATTCCGATGATTTGTGTCGTCAAATGTGGCACCCCCGCCGAACAAGAAAAACCAAAACCTGGTAACCGAGGAAAACGTGACTCGCAATTAATTCTGATGAATTTCTTCAGTCGCGTCACATATAACGATCGCATGTGTGCTTTGGATTATGATTTGTTCAGGAAAGTTCATCACCTGATGGGCGTCACTCCTGACTTTTTTGAAATTGTACTTATGGTGAGCGACTATTTTCATCTCGTTATCTAACTTCGTTTTCGCGTGATTTATAATTAATAATATTGTGATAACAGGTGGATGCCGATACAAAAGTTTATCCCAACTCTCTAAGACTTTTAATCAATTGTATGTGCAATGATCCACTTATCATGGGTCTTTGCGGCGAGACAAAGATCGCCAACAAACGTGATTCCTGGGTTACTGCCATCCAAGTTTTTGAGTATTACATTTCCCATCATTTGGGCAAAGGTTTTGAATCAGTGTTTGGTGGTGTCACCTGTTTGCCCGGTTGTTTCTGTATGTACCGTCTCAAGGCACGTAAAGGCGATGATGACTGGGTGCCAATTATCACCAAACCTGAAATTGTACATGAATACTCCCAAAACGTTGTTGACACGCTTCATCAAAAGAATCTACTACTTCTTGGAGAAGATCGTTTCCTAACGACTCTTATGTTACGAAACTTTCCACACCGTAAAATGATGTTTTGCCCACGAGCGATCTGCAAAACCGTTGTACCCGATGATTTTTGGGTCCTGTTATCTCAACGTCGTCGTTGGATCAATTCTACCATTCACAACCTTATGGAACTCGTTCTTGTTAGAAACCTTTGTGGCACTTTCTGTTTCTCTATGCAATTTGTCGTGTTCATGGAACTGATCGGCACCGTTGTACTTCCGGTCGCCATCATATTGACTTATGTTTTGATATACGGATTACTCCGGAATCCACCGAATTCTCTCACGGAAGCTATCCCGCTAATGATGTTGCTTATGGTTCTTGGTTTGCCGGCTATATTGATTTTGATTACAACACGAAAATTGATCTATATCGCATGGATGTTTATATACCTACTTGCTTTACCCGTATGGAATTTCATTTTACCAACGTATGCTTATTGGCATTTTGACGATTTCTCATGGGGTGAAACCAGAAAAGTTGAAGGTGAAGCTAAAGGAGATGACCACAGCAAAAAGGAGGGAACATTTGACGCTTCTAAAGTTCCGTTGAAACGTTGGGAAGATTGGGAACGTTCCCGCCTTAAGAGAGTGAAACGACAAGAACGTCAAAGAGAGCAAAATGGAAATATTCCGATACATCTGACACATCAAGTAATAACGGGCGAGGATGACCAAAATAACGCTTTACTCGCATCTCACTATGATGGTGAATACTATGAAACCGCCTCGGTACACTCTCAAACATCACAACAGCAATACTATGATTATTCGAATAACGCAGCAGAATATCCACCACAGAATTATCACCAACAATATAACGATGTACAATATGGAAACACACACGAATTACAACGTGCACCTTCACCAAGACCAAATGGTGACGATTTTTATTAGTCGGATTTTACGAAAATAACTTCCTTCTATTGAATAGATTGTTTTGTGATTTTGTGTTTCGGGTTTTAGATTGAGGGTT